CTACTTCACACTCTTGTGAATTTCATCATAAATAATGTGTTTATTCTTATTATAACTCAATGATTTTTTTGCCACAGTTTTATGGACTTCCTATCTTTAGAATGCTTCTCTTTATGCCTTCTGTCTACTTTCGAAACAGACTTATCTATAATCTCACTTTTTCCTCTTGCCTCTGCATAATTTCTACAAGACTTCCCTACCCTATTAGCTTGGCTCATGAAGCCTCTCAGTCTCTGCATTATTGTACTCGCTTGCATTGGGTTACCCTGATGTCGAGTGACTAATATAATTCAATTTAGTCAGGGGGCGCATCATGACTTTATTTATTCTACCGCTGGGGTCATCACTTGCTTCTTATTACTATTCATGCTTGCTAGTACTTCATCTTATCTTTGAGGCATTTCAGGGTGGTTGATTGGTCGCTCACTCTAAATGTGGGCTTTTTTGTGTCCGATTTCACTCATGCATCCATTAAGCAATTTGTAGAACGGATCTGTGCTTGTTTTCACATCAAACATATCTGACATCAACTTGCTTGTTGAACTTTTAACCCAGGCTTTGTAAAGCCGGGTTCATCAGGCCATTCAGTCTTGCATCAGCAATGTCTATTGAAGGGCCCGCTCCACCGCTCCAGCCAGGAAAAGTTACTTGAGAAGGTGAACCAGGCAAATCTTTTTTTCCATTTAAGTAGGTTTCCAGACAAATTTTTGATGTTCATCCAAATGATTTCATTTAGCCGACATGTGTGCACTTGGATAATTTCTTCTTGGATCAATGCTTCCGATATCTGGTTATGAATTTGGCCATTTTTACCTTTTGGCTTCACTAGTCAGCTTTGTTGATAATTTAAACCTTAGCATATCGTGTTGGTGGGATTGATAGCGACTATACACATAATTAATTGAAGGGGAGATGTAATTTTTAGACTAAATTTATTTATAGAAGTGCGACCATACCAGAGGACACAACTACTTGGTCTTCATATCTTAAATTAATTTATATTCATGCTTTGTGAGCGATTTATTTATTTACTTACCCACTTTCTTCCACACCCGTCGGTTTAAAATAACTCATAAATAAATGGTAATTTATTTTTGTAAACTTTTGAATGAATTTTTCCTTCTCTTTCACTCGCAATCAAGTATGCACACAATTTCCAAGTTGAAGCTGTCTGTCTTATGTTTCCCTAAGTTGATTCAGAGAAGGAATATCAGATCGAACCTGGGGACTAATAGATTTATGTTATTTATTTTATTTACTCTTTTCCTTTGTGGAATGAGGGTCTGATGATTATATGTAAATATGAATTGAATTTGCTCGAATTCTAAAGCTTTTTACCAATGACTTCGCATTAAACAAACTTCTAATTCCTCGCAACCGCCTTTCTAAGCTGTTTCTTTATATGCACTGTTGCTTCGTTAATAAAAGCTCTTCCTGTTGTTTCGCTAAATTCCTCCTTAGTCGGAAATTATCTAAAAACTGCAGCATAAATTGATTAGAATAGCTGCTTTAAGAGCATTCAACTTTTTCTACTTTCATGAATATATGTTCAGTTTGCCTCTACATGGTTCAATATTTGCTGCCTATAAGACATATCACCTGCACTATGTGCTGCTAATGTATTAAACATACCAACTCGGCCATTTCGTGTTGAGACTTTTGTCTGGAATAACTATATAGCCAATTTTTGATTATGATTCATAAGCATGCTCCTTTATTTATGGCATTTTGATCATCCTCCACTAAGCACTAGCGCCCTCTCGTTTATTTCTTCCTCTTTTTTATCTCCTTCATATTTCCCTTTAAAGTCTGGCCACCATCCCCTTGTACGCGTCTGGAGTCTGCTGGACGGAAGCCAACTGGCCGAATTCCCGGGGCACCATTTTCGAGTAGATTGTGTTCGCTTTAGTCCATTGGGTGACGGCACCCGTTTCCTCGTCAGCCTGGGCAGTCAGGAGGATCAAACGCTCAATGTGTGGGACCGAATATCTGGCCATCGACTAGCTACCGCTAAGCTTACGCATCGGGTGAGAAGGGTATTTGAAATTAAATTAAGACAAATGTATATTTTTGTACTTTATTTAGTTCATAAAATACCACATATATTTTGCTAGAATTCGGTCACATTTTCATAGTTTTGAATTTCGCCTTTAGTCCTAGCCCGTTTTTCTCTCAGCATAGTCTCTGGTACGCAGCTAGCCCTATTACAGACTTGAAGGTATCTTGGATCGTAACAAGAGTTGCTTCTTTTCCACTTAGAGTTTTCTTGATATAAACATATAATGTGCATAAGATTTGCGTTGCGAGTTATGCAGCATACCCGCCTCGTGATAAAATACAGCCCTCATTTGCCACTTCTGGAGAGACCTCACGAGCATTCTTTCGTGATCACCATCAGCTACATCTGATTGAGTCTTAGGCATCTGATCAAACCAGCTTTTTCATTTTTCTCACTTGATACCGAAAGTTGAGCGATTTCTTTGTATTTTTGACAATGTGTGTTTGCGAAATAGCAACATTCGCTCAATAATATATACATTCCTGTGACAGGAAAATTTTAGAGGCTCTATAAATGTATAAAGGTCTAAATACGACTAGGAAGGTTGTCATTCCCCTTTACGGCGTTTCGATATGGTCTGTTAAATCTTTAGTCAACCAAACAGAAATGCGAATCCTGAGAATATACTGTCATACACACCCTCACCAAAAGTCAAGTATACTAGATCGTACCTAATATAAACTTGAGAGATAAGTCTTTTGTTCTGGTCATTGGAAGCCAGGCTTATCATTATATTTACCTAGCTGATCATATCACTTTCCTTGTTATAGGGAAGGGCCTATAATTGTCATACAACCTAATCAACCTGTTTTACCAAACAAACTAGTGATAGACTAAGATGTATTCACTCTATTTCGTTTAAGGTCATAAGAGGACTTTTAGTTTAATTTTCTCACAACGATATGAGTAGACCTTAGGTTTTCATTGAATTTTACATAGCCTTGCTTTTCCAAAAGGTATTTTTATTCAGGCAAAGGTCTACGGCAATTTCACATTCTGTGGTAAGATTGTTAATGAAGAAAAATAATATTTGCTACAGCAATTGACTACATTATTTATTTTTCGTTTATAAGTAGGATTTTTGAGACTACCAGTATATCGTATATATGAGGTGTATTCATCCTATTTTTGGGGAGTGAAAGTGCCTGGCATTCCTTGAAACCCATTTCTGCCCTTTGGCCCAAAGACGTCGTGGCAATGTAGTATAGTGGTCAAAGTTTCCTAATTATACGCTCCGTTGTCATGGTTCGAGTCCCGCTGGAGGTGCTGATGGGACCTAGGCGAGGTCAAAACTTCAGTCTACTCCAATCTTGATAACAATAATTTTTGGGAAAGCAAGGCTATGTGAAATTTCCTGGAAACGTAGACTATTCATATAATTGTGGGACAATTCATCTAACTGTGCCCTTATAATCTTAAACGAAATAAGGTGAATATACCTTATATATAATCTACGGGTTATCTCGAAAACCTGTTCCATTCCATTCGCGTTTTAATGGTGTGATATATTATTGTTTTATCAATACTTTATTTTATGGCTAAGTTAATTTCTCATATTAGCTTTGTAAGAGTATTCAGCTTTATCTTAACTTTTAAATTTATGTTTTAGCTTTCTGTTGATCAAAC